GGCACCAGGGAGCACCTGGTACTCACAGTCTCAACAACACAAAGCTACTGTTGAGTCTGTGATCTCAGGCAAGGGTGGAGCGTTTGTCCACATGGGAGAAGCTACCAGCAAGAGAGCTCCCACACATGCCCAGGGCCTGGTCAGTGATGGCAATGACTGTTAGAAAAAGAGGTAGTTCCTATCACAGGATGAAGAAAACATATCCCCATAAACAGAGCTATAATTAAACCAGAAGCACACCCAGCCAGAGCTGGTCACTCAGCCTTCTCTACACTTCATTTAGGCAAATAAAGAACTGTTCCAGGAAAAGTACAAACATACAGGCAGTTGTGACCCCATAAAAACTCAATTACGTATGAGTTAACGTCAATATAAAGCAGCTTTTTTCATTTACTGTAAATCTCAGTGTTTAAAACTGAGTTCTCTGGCTGTAGAAGATTAGACAACCAATTTGAACTTTAGACTTTCTAAGGGAGGCAAAGGTTCTCTCTTGCCTCCTGCTGTAAGTAATTTCATCTCCTACCCAAAAAATTAGGAATCTACTCCAAAGCACCCTCTTCAGCTGTTCCTTGCCCAGTGCTTCCTGCACCTTCCTATGGAGAAGCAACCACAGCACATCTGTAGTTGAGCTAAGGCAGGACAACACCCAACGGATTTTAAATGCAGCACCATTTAAAATGTACCAGTTTATGTACACAGATCTTGAACGTGGATATATGCGTTAGCACCCTGGGGTTGAAATTTGGGGCTTTTGTTTAGGTTGTGACCCAGACTCAAACTAAGTCCATCATTAGGTTTATGAGGCATCATTTGCTAATGTACCTCTACAGCAACATTCCCAATATCACAAGTTCTCTCAGATGTTAGTGGTTTTCCCTCATGGCTTGTGTTTTTGGCTTGTTTGTTTTCTGAACCATCTAGGACTGGCACTAAGGCTGACTCCTGGAAGACACCATAAAGCAGAGGTGTCCAGCCTTCCAAACTCTAACCAATACACTAAAATCTTTGCACAGCCAAGAACCACAAGTCACACAGTGCAGATCAGTAGAGCTGAATGGAGCCCAATAAAACTTTATAGGGAGATGATGGCAAATTACTCTGAAGTACCTCTGGGACACTGTGCTGGATTTCTAACACAGCCTGCTCTCAGTGACCCTCTGCTACCAAACTTAGCTTCCCTCTATTTGAAGTAATAACCATCTGGAGTTCTGAACCAGCCCAACACTGGTCATGAAACAAAACCATGACTTGAACAGCTCACAGTCCACATGTGGTTCTGTCACGAGAAGCCGATTCCCTTGGGCAATGACTTTCAGGTTTTTATTATTTTAAAAAACAAAATGTCAGAAATCACAACTTTATTTCCTCACATGTATTAGTGTTCAGATCTACTGTACACAGTGCTTGTTTCTTCCACATTCCTCCTGCTGCAATTTCTGGAACCACCTTTCATTGCTTCCATTTCTGTCCATGTTTGAAACTGGTTTCAACCAGCCATGGTCAAACCGCACCCCATATGACTGCAGACCATGGAATATGTACTGCATTCAAGCCATCTTGCTGAAGCAGTGGTTTGTAATATGGTTGCTGGTTGATTGTTTGTCTGAAAATCCCTATCCACAAGAGACACTGAAATAGTGCTAAAAGGCAGGCTAGTTCCAGAAACGTTAGGACATTTGTGCTGCAAGAGTTCTGGACAGTGTAGTTCTGTTGACAGATGTGATTCCTGACCAAAGGAGCAATGCCAGCAGCAGCTTCCAGTGCAAGAACAGCACCTTTACCAGTCTGACAGACTGAAGGTGGAGTGGTATTGAGACACCATACTAATAAGCCTGTACTTTGTCCTATCAGATGAGTAATCCTCCTGAGATCCAGTAAAGACCTCTTAATGAAGGAACTGCCCTAAGGATCAGCAAACTAATCCTGCATTCAATTTGGCTCCAGTTTCCCAAGGCATGTGGGAAGGCAGGGGGGAAAGAGATCGGGAAAGACAAGTGTAATGAGTCAGTCTTTGGAAACCAAACTACAGATTTGACTCTAGTTACCTCATTTACAGGCTGGTTCTAGATTTGTAGCCAGAGAGCAGTCATGGTTTCAAACTGGAGCAGACAAACTTGAGACTCCGCCACTGCTGAATGTCCCCAAGTCAACAGCTAAGCTCACTCTCTTATGCACCCTCTCAACTACTTCCCCTGTCCCTTGGTGAAAACACTGGTCTCTGGTTTCCAAAGTCCTCTCAGCCTCCATCTCTGGGGAGAGTCCAGGCCAAAGACCTCTTCCTGCTCAACACACTGACCATCCCTCTGGGTCTATCCTGCAAGTAGTAAGGCTCAAGAGAAGCCATTATGCTCTACAAGCCTGGAGCCCTCTCCCATCTGTACACAAACATAGCCACTGGACAGTCCTCCTTCCTAGCCCACATGAAGTATTTTCAGATCTCACATGAAACTCTCCATTGATTCCTCTTCTATCTCTGCTATGCAACTTGGCCCTCAATTTGCTACCCAGTACTTCCAGTTTTCCATAGCACATAGGTCAGGTCTGACAAGAGATTTCTTCCATGCAGTTCTGCATATGGACACTCCTGAGCTGGTCCACTCACCACCACTGAGCCAGTCACATGTGGAGAATGTATTTCAGGGCAGGAAGCAGAGCTGCTTCAGAGTGACAAAAGGTCAGTAACAGAGTGGTAAAGAGCTAAAGTTGAGAAGGAACATTTGAACAGCAAGCAGCAAGAATCACCCAGCAAGAAGAAAACCCTAAACCCTTTATTCACAATTTGGGAAAGTAACCACGCTGGATGTGAATTGCTTTCTTGGTGCTGGGACAGCCACTGTGTCTTTGTATCTACCTTACAAGCCAGCCATGACTGACACACAGGCAGGGCAGAAGGACATTCATTAATGAAGTTACCCATTTGCTAAAGTAATCCATCACAACACTCAAGAAGGGAAGCTTTATGTAACAGTACTTGGCCAATCCATGATAAACACAGAGAGAGGTTAAGGTGCAAGAGGAGTCCCTTTGCTTACAGCCAGCACAAGCTGATAAGGTATAGGGAATGGTTTTAAATCACTTCACAAGATGGCTGTGGCATTGTAGCTGGGTCACAGTGCTTTGGAGTCAGCCAGTTCTTCAACCATGTCACAAGCATTGGTTCCAGAAACCTCAGCTGCCTCGAGACCCCCTTCGAACATCTCTTCAAGCTCTTAGAACATAACTCTATTAAAGGGGATTAATTTTCTGACATAGCCTTTAAATCCTCATCCCTTTTTTAACCCATGGCAATGTTCTCACCAATAGCCCACTAACAGAAACTAGACATCCCGCTTCCCAGCTCTGCCCCTCTGCCCAGCTCCTGCCATCCTCATCCCTGCTTTGTTCCTCTAGGCCTGCCCAGCTTCATGCTCTTTAGGGTGTATTCTGCAAAGACAAATCCCACCTTGAGGGATGAAAGACAGATTATATCCAAGAAATGCCTGCTTCCAATGAAGCAGGAAGCAGTGTCAAGACGTAGCAGTAGATAACTCCTTACTATAGTAAGCAGGACAAAGCCTAACACAACATAGTCTACTAAAAGGCAGTAACAGTCTTACTTTTGCAAAGGAAAATGTGGACTGCTCCAGCGACACAGTTTTTTTAAAAACTCATGGTATTGCATTAAGAGTTGTCTTTTTCCCTGCCAAGGCAAAAAAGAAGGCACTGCTTCATGTATGCGAAAATATCTGGCTGTCAACAGATTTTCATTTAAAAAAAAATCTTTTATTCCAATACAAGAAAGAACTGTGTTTCGTAAGAAGATTCATCTCAATCTCACAACTGATACACCCCATTATAATCTCCTGGGATCTGCTGTGTTTAGATGAATGAACTGAGACAACACAGTCATATCTCAAGAATCTTTTGATCCTGAGAGACAGAACAGTGCCAGCTTATGTGACAGGAAATATCTGGTTCCTTGGGTAGAGCCTGCAGTACTTCACTGACTTTCTGTGGAGGTTCTGTGGGTCTACCAGCTACCAACATAGATCCAGCAGCCAGCTGCACGTGAGGTCAGAGTCCAAGGGAGGTCAGGGCTCTGATTTCTACCAGCATTAAGAGAAACCTATCCAGTGAGGCACCCAAGTGACCATCCTACTCAGTGCATGAAGCTTAAAGGGCTGGGGCAGTATCCTGAGACAGGAGAGGATCGCAGTAAGAGGACATCCAGCCTTCAGCTTGCTGTTAGATCCTTTTTTACAGCCTGGCAGAAACTGAGTGCAAATATGTTTTAGCATAATCTGTGCATGGAGAGGTCTGATCCCCTCAAGACCCAAGCACAGGAGGTGCTGCAAAGTGACAGCCAAACACCAACCACAGATGAGCCTGCACAAATGCTGCCAAAGGGGGGAAAAGAAAAGAACACAGAAAAAAAAGTGTTTGTTTATCCAAGAGTATGAACTAGTCTGTGAGGTCACCTATAGAGGACCTTGCTGCACTGAGCCCTGGCAACTTGCCAAGTTAGGCACCGAGCAGAGTCACACCAGCCAGCCTGCGGGAGAGATGTCACTCTGCCCAGACCTCTCAGCAGCCCTTGGACACTTGCTAAATCATTCCCTGGCTATGCCTTCCAGCAGTGCCAGGGGACTCACAGTGGTAAGAGCCCTCCTCAGTCCAAGCTGGTCCATCTGCTTCATCAGTCTGGCCTTCTGAGAAGAAGGCAGGAGATTGCACCTTAAGCTGTCTGAGATCAAGCCAGTACTTTGCCACAGGGAACTGGGCATGCTATAACACTGCCTTAAGTCAATACTTTAATCAGTGGTACTTCATTATTTAAGAACAGTTGATAATCTGATATCTAAATGCAGAAAATTAAATATTCCTCCTTTCCTCCACCCCCCTCCCCACTTCTATCCCTCTTTTCCCATCCCACTGCCCTCCCAGTAAGGCAAAGTATGGGATTAAATCGCATGAACTGTTCCCAGGAAATATCCTCTCCTTCAGTGCACTGCACACCCTACCTTGGTTGAGGTAGGTCAGAGTTTCCTCGTGCAGTTTCACGGCAGGGGAGGTGGCTGTGCAGAGGACATACTGAAAGGGTGGCAGTTTGGCATCGTTCTCAGGAGACAGCTGAGGCTCTTCCTGCTTGAAGATCGGCAGCGCAAGGACATCTCTGCAATGCACAAGTTATACACAGTCAGTTGCAAAGAGTTTATGGACTATCCTAGCCTCAATCTGCATTTGGTTCTCATGATCTGAGATAAAAGGGCCGGTCTCTGGAGAAACACCAGGTTAAAATGGCTAAAAGAGGAAGAATTTGGCCTGTTTAATGTAACCAGGCAACTTCTGCGTCTAGGATATCAGCACTGCACACTAAAGAACACAGCACTGGCAAAACAGAGTATGTCTGAGAATTAATTTTGAAGAAATAAATCAGATTTTCAGTTAAGCAGTCTTCTTGATAAGGAAAAAAAAATATCGAAACCAGACCCTTCATCCTTGTGGACATATTCAATTAAGAGTTCTCGTGTCCTCAGATGAAAGTCTTTCCGGAAAAAGAAGGCAAGAGAGGGCACTTTGAGAGCTGAATGTCAGATTATTAAAATGCCTTCAAGTAGTAACCATAGCTCTGGTGTACAAAGGAGATATTCAGATAAGTGATGGCATGAACGGCTGGATTGAGTCATAACATCTCCCTGCATTCTAATAAACCTGGTCCCAAGGAATCACACAGCTCATAAGTCAGCACTGGGTTATCTTCGTAAATTCACACACAGGTGCATGAGAGCAGCTTCACTAAGACCTGCACACAGCCCCAGCTCCTACTTCTTTACAAAATGTTGATAGTGACTTGCCTGCTGATTTTGTCCCAGGCTGCTCCCAACCCACACTAATCCCCAAGCAGAACTGGTATTAGCAAGGCAGAGAGCTCAACAAATGATGAGTTGATTAGCACAAAATGAGGTGTCAGGAATAAGCATCCTTATCTCAGCCTGTCTGACAGTGAAGAACCACATTAGCCTCTCCTATGCCACTAAGAGCAGCTGATTATTGTGTCCACCTACTTAAAACATTAATATCCTTCCAAATTAGGAGGATTATACTGAACACGGTGACAATTCAGAATGAGTGATTCTTTTTCTCCTCTATTTCTTCCAGATGTGTGAAGATTTGAGATTCTCTTTACACAGGCTGCAGCTCTGCTCTTTTGACAGCCCCGTATACAAAATGGTCTAAGAAAAACCAAGCAGCATGTACAGGCATGCACCCTGGAAAGGCATTAAGAATTTTTTCCTTGCCTGTTCAGTTAATGATCCACTCATAGCACTCACAACCTTGAAGGCTACCCAGGTCATCAGTTAAACAGCACAGCAGTTTAGAGTAAACTGCTCAAGTGCCTGGTTCAAACACAGGTAATCTTGTTTATGGGAAAACAATGCCAGAGAGCAAATTGTGCCATTTCAGATGTAGAGAAAAGAAACACCCATCTCTGTTTCCATTCTCTCTTCCAACCCCACGCCCTCAATACTATCAGCCACTCGAAGGCATCCAGCCCCATTTGCTTCCTGGCATTACTGACATAATCACAGTTCTTGCCTAACTGCTGCCACAGAGAGGGTTTTTTTTCCTTAGTGATGATTTACTACAGTAATGAAGTGACAGAAATGCCTGCAGTAGATTTCTGAAATAGATAGCATTGCTCCACACACATGCAGGATCTGATATGGCTCCAGAGTCATCTCACTCAGCCCGGATGCCAACATTTGCTCCTAAAGATGCCAACATTTGCTCCTAACCCCCTCATCTTCACAATGCTCTCTGAATGCCTGTAGCTTTACAGATGAGAACAGGTCAAAAACTCGAGCGCCCAAAAACTTCTGCAGTTCGTCAGAAACAGAGCACAAAATCTGGCCTGGTTTTAACAGTTAGGGGTGAGGAATTTGTACATACACTCACCTGAAACAGCTGAGAAATTTAGGCAAGGGGAAGTCTAAATATAAATATCATATCTAACATGAGGTTCTTTACATCCCTACACCTCTCAGCACAGCTGTCTGATCGCTGAATTCTGCAAGCACGCAGGAATCCATGACTTGGTCTCTGGAAAGCTTCACTATATTAAAGCACCAACGAAACCACACAAGTTAATCACATTTTTATTTCTAGCGCATTTGAACTAATGGGCTGTGGTATAACTGCTTTGGGTGAAAACCTTCTTAAACATTCAACCTTATTATAAGCGTTTGGAACTTAGAATGAGGTTAAAAGAATTTTTAAGTTAAGTATACAAGCCATCACAACACTTATTCAACTCTTCACTAAAGAGCTGCAAATCAAGTTTAGGGAAAAACAGACTTTTACAAGTTCCTATCCTTTAAAAAAAAAAAAAAAAGCTGAACTCCTTAAAACTCTTCCAGTTTTCACCCTTATGCTAAAGATCTACAGTTCTGGTCTTAAATAACAGTTAGTTTGCATACCTGAGAGGAGAGAAAGTTATTTGAGAGTTCAGTCAGCTGACAGAACAGACTAAAACATGTACTGGGTTTTCATAAAAAATGAATGAAAATTTTTAAGAATTTTTCTGTAATATCATCTTGCTCCAGCTACAAATACAACAGGGATATAGCAGAACACGAATACACGAATGTCTCAAATACACAGAAAGCTCTTGATCTCTGCAAAATATAACTTATACAAACTTTTCTTATAGCAATTTCAAATGTTGTACTATTTCAGTTTCTTGTGCAGCCACGACAAGGGAAAGCCTTCAGAAAGGCACTGCTCAGCAGAAAAATGCCCCTGTAAGAAACGCATGTCTTGACACGTTCTCATGGAAAGTAAATTGGCCAGAATTAGCTATCTCTACATAAAAAAAAACCAAGGGTTTTGTTCAACCTACCTTCCCTGAAACACCTGAGGGCATTGCCGTCATTAAAGTGGTTGTAGGGATTTTAATCCCAGATCAAACCCACCCTGTTCACAGAGGCAGATACTCACTAAAGCTGAAGTTCGTTCCTAAAACATCAACAGGTCACCTCTATACCAGCAGCTTTCCTGACAGAACAGATATCCTTTATCCCTCAGCTACAAATTGTGGAGCGAAGCCTGACCCAGATCCGATGATCTTGTAGCACTCTTGCTATAAATCCATGGAGTTAATGAAACACCCTGACCACACTCTCTAATGGAGAATACACAAGCACCAATACTGATGCTCCTCTGCTAGTACTATTTCCACTGTCCTAAATTTAACAGATTTGCAAGTGCAAAGCAAGAGAGAACAAGACTTTTGCCACATACATGTTGTGAAACTCTGTTATTGACATAGAGGGAGGAGATGAAGAATCTTGTATGAAGAAACAGAAAAGCTGCCAGAAGGCAAGAATCTCCCAATATTGTACCATTTGATAATGGGAGATGATTATTTAGTCCAAAATAAAATTCCTTTGCAAGTGCACTGATAGGCAGCAGGAATAGTCAAGATAGCGTCTCCTTGAAAGGGAAGCATTATCTGCGTTCGAAGTGCTTCCCCAGACAAACTCAATGTTCTCTCAAGAGTGGTTATTTGGGGGTACATTTGAAAGTCAGGGTTCTTGGGCCACAGCCAGGTTCTTCACTGCCACAATTCAGCAAAATCCCACTCCAGTAATCGACACCAGCTGACGGCTGAGCTTTACATCCTCAGAAAGCAAATAATTCATAAGCACCCAGCAAAAAGGGAACTCCCAAAGTTGCCTGCTTTGACATCGTTTGGAAGGAGGAAACACGGGTTTGTGCTACACATGTCACAGACTATTGTTTAGCAGCCCTTGTACTTAAATTAGGCACATTTAATTAAACGCAACTGTGCGGAGGCAGGAAAAAGCTGGTTTAGGCAAGTTCAGAAAGTGAAATTCTGCGCTTTTCACACATCGTCCCAAAAAGCAGAGAAAGAAATCCCATCCCCAGAAAACTGAGTGCCTTCTCAATTTGCCAGCAGGCGCTTTCCGCAGACCTTTGACAGCGCTCCGCCGCTGCCGCACCTCCTCCTTTGGAGCTGCGCTACCCCAGCCCGGGAGAAAAGGGAACCCGGCACAAGCAATAAAACAACGCTGCAGAGAGCTGTCTAACCAGGCGCTAAAAAATATATATAAAGAAGCAAAAAGAGAAAGCAAAAAAAGGAAGACGGTCTCTCAGAAAGAGGGAGCAGCGCTGACCCCGGGCGGCGCGGCGGGGCAGCGGCAGTGCCGCCGGGGAACCCGACGGGCGGGAGGCCACGGGACGGGGCACCCGACCCAACATCCACCCCCTGCCAGGGCTGCCGGCCCCGGGACTCACCGCAGGTAGCTGCCGGTCGAGTGCTGGTTGTAATGCTCCGGCTGCGTGTGCCAAAACAGCATCTTGGGGGCGGCCGGCGGCGGTCCCTGCGCTGCGGAGCGGCGGCCGCGCTGCCCACCCCACGGGTGCCCGGCACGCCTGCCGCCAACTGGTGCCGCGGCCCCGCCGGCTCCCGGCGCTTTTATGGCTCAGCCCCGGCGGGCGCGGGTTGGCCGGGCCGGGGCTCCGCAGCCGGGCGAGCCCTCCCCCGGCCCGCCCCAGCGCCAGCCCCGGCCCCCGGCGGGCACGGACCGCGCAGCCCCGGGGCGGAGCGCCGGCCCCGGGGGACGGGCCTGGAGCGGGGCGGTGTGAGGGGCCTGGGGACGGCCGTGAAGTCACGGCACCCCCGGGCGGCCCAGGGAGAGCCCCGGTTGTGCTGGAGGTGCCGCTTGGCCTCTGTGCTGTGCTTTAAACCGAGCCGCTCCATCCGACGCCAGTGTGCAAGCCCTGCTCAGGTTCCTCTGAGGTCCCTGTTTTCTTTAAATGAACGACAGCTGATGGCTTTAGCTCAGTGCTGTCTCTTAACACTGCTCTGTGCCTCATGTTAATGCGACCTTTGTGGTAGGAGGTATTTTCCAACTGAGAGGGCAAGAGACAAAGTTTTCCAGAGCAGGTGGATGAAGAAGAGAACAGTGTCAGAGACTAAACTCACCCCCAGCCCATTTGAAACACTCCTGTCTATTCTATCTCAATTCCCCTGCACAGTCCGGAGAAATCTGTTCTTTTTCCATTCGAAATTACAGATTCTGATCTTCACCCACAAAGCTGTCCATAGCTGTCATTTTCCTGCTCTCAGGGCACCTTAATGTCCCACTAGTTTGCTGGTCTGATAGTTTGGAGAGGGGGAGCAGAAGGGTAGAAGGGCACCCTGTTTGGTCATTTCATATTGTCTGTCCACCAGCAGAAATAGAAACAGACCCTAAACTAATCTGAGTCATTAAACACCTTTCAGTCAGTTTCTCAGGAGAAAGCTTCCTGTCCCTGAGGCTCCTGGTCAAATTTCAGCTGAGAAAAAAGCCTTTACTCATGTATTTGTCAGCATTCACTGTCAGATTTCACTGTCAGATGAGTTTTTTCAGACAGATGAATTTTCTGTTCTCCTGCCATGATTATAAAATATTGCAATTGTCATAGCATTTATAGATCATAGCTAGGTCAAGCCCAATAGAGTCAGATGTAATATACCTATAGGCCTTGGTTTTTTATATCTTGAGGTACAGAACAAGGTAGCCTGAAAGGTAGCTAAGCAGCTTTACAGAGACGTTATGAGTCTAAAAGTTTTTAGGATGCATTGTTTATACCTGCTTGTCTCTGTTAATTTCAGAGTGAGAAATAGAAAAAATCAATATGCCTTTACAGTATCTTCAGTTATTACATAGTTAGACAAACACTAGTTCTAGCAAAGCCAAATGGCTGGAGTTACCTTTTTTATACTCTTGAAATTATTTAGCGCTGCTCATACAACATCTGAGACCTTGATTAAGCAAAGACTATATATAGCTCTTGGTCAGAGAAACAAGGCAAAGTTTGCTAACTGTCCAAGGACTTCTCTAAATAGTAAATATCCTCCTACAGTTCAAGCAGTCTGTTGCACCTACTGGGAGAATATGAAGTCCAATGTAAAAGTAAATCACCACACTGTGTGAAACAAAGGATCCCATCAAGTCTGGTGTGATATATTTTCTTTACTATCCTTTTAGAAAGTACATATGTTGGAGTGAAAATTACTTAAAAATAATTCCATTCATTTCCTCTCTAGCTTCTTGATGAATGTAGAAAATAAGAGGAAATCTACTAAGTAATTTTACAGAGACTGGCACCAGCTCTGTCTTCTAAATGTTCCTGTCCTTCCCATTCCTTTTGAAGCCAAATCTGATGAAGAAAAAGACTTCTTTCTTCCTTGTCTACCTCTCCTGAAAGAAATTCAGCCATTTTCTGGTCTAACTGCTGCTCTTCCCCCTGTGCAGAAGTTTGTGCCACAGCATCAAATACCTTCTCCTGTCTTTCAGAACCCGGCACATCACATAGGGCAAATCATTTTCTACTCTCCTCTGGGGCTCCCAGCATCTGCCCTTCCTCTTTGTCTTAACACAACCCCTCAGTGAAGAAGCCTTCTCCACCACAGCTTTCTCACCCAAATCTTGCTTTAATCTCCTACTTCTTCCCAGATTAAAGTAATTTCTTTGCTGTGCTGATTGCTTTTCATCTCTCATTTTAGATCTTGTTCAATTTGCCATGGTAAAATACTTTGATCATATGATTAAAAGGGATTGATTGAATATTTAGTTTGATGGATTTTTCTGCTTGAGGTAATGCTATGAAAGGATCTTGGGATACTTTTTGCATTGAAAAAAGGTATTTAATAAACAAGTGTCTTTTCCTGTGGATGTTTGTAGCTGGAAACCCAAGTAGTGTGCCAATGAGTTCAGTCCAAAAGTTCATTCTGCTGCTTCAGTGTTCGTTGCAATCCCTTTAGCTAAGCACTGAGTGGGGAAAATCTTTCATCTGCTTCACTGGAGAGTCAAGAGGTTTTGATCAGCTTTTCAGCACCTGGAACCAGAATTTGCAGTGAAGTGACTGAGATAACAGTCACATATTGAGTTCCCTTTCTGCTCTGGAAGAACAGTGTTCCCATTAGCCAAGGGGCGAAAGGGATGTGAGCATTGTAACACTGTAGAGATGGCTAAGATCTGTAAAATAAGTGAAGCACTTCACTTGCATGAAACTGAAAAGAAACAGATCATCTCTATACCTTTATGACTTCCATCATAAACATCTGAGTTGCTTCTGGGAAGTCTAACAGGATGTTCTATATCAGTTTAGCAATGTTCACAAAGCCCCAGATAAACTTAAAGGGTCAAGGGTGAACATTATACTGTATCAAAGAGCTTCCAAAAGCTGCCGTTAGATCATTGTGGCATTAGCCAAGGTTATTCAAGGGTTACTCTACCTCCCTCCTAATGCACAGACCATAGAATCCGGATGAACTGCAGGGATCTGAAATGAGTTGCAGAGACTTACTGAGATGCTCATGCAAGCACTAAATACGCTCTTAGGGAAAACAGTCAGCATGCACCTTTTGTGTTATCTTTCTGTGTGTTAGCTCACAGGTTTCCAGCCTTTGACTTGGGGATCCTTGGGGGAGTTATATTGAAGGAGGTTCTGCAAGATAACCAAGAAATGTGGCTGTGACTGGCTAAATTTGCTCAACTTTCCCTGGAAAACACTGAAGGCACCCCAAATTAGAAAGGATGGGAAGCCTGAGGTTTTAATCAACTGCAATATTATGAATGAAGAAAGGAACAGCTTTTACACAGTCCTTATTGCTCTAAATTAGAAAAAAAAAAAATCATTGCTTTGCCTTTGACAGAGTTTGAGACTGCTTCCAGTGGCAAGTAGAGGCTTTCACAGGTAGCCCACTGACCCTCAAGGTCTCCTCATCTATTTCGTGCTGATCCACTTTTTAGATAGAAACCAGGCTAGATGGGTTCCCATTGCCCTCTACTGAACAGAAGTTCTGGGCAGTGGCTACCACCAGAAGCATGAATGTAGTTGTGTTGTTACAGCCAAGAAGGAGGACACTGAACTGGAAAAACTGAGAATGGACAAGGTCTTGAAAGTGTGCATTATACTGACAGAAACACAGAGCTTATTTTGGTTTTACAAGAGGAAGATTAACAGGTGACTCAAACATAGTCTATAAATACTCACATGGAAAATCAACATTTCATAAAAAATGTTCCTGAACCTCACAACAAAGATACAAGAGCCACAGAATAAACACAGCAAGTTAATAAAGCAAGGCTGAGAACAGATTGCAGTGAATGTAATCAACCATGAGTGTAACTTTCCCAAACTTTGTGGTTAAAGCACCTCCTGCCATCTCCATTTTCTAGATATAATTACAGACTAATTTTTTTTCACCAAAAAAAAAAAAGTTGAACAGAAAGGAATTCTGGCTTGTCTGACAGAGGAGACCAAAGAAGATCACCAGGACTTTTTCTATCTTTACAATCTCTGACGTCTCCTGCCAAAGGCTTCCAAATGCCACCTTATTAGAGTCACCTCCCTGCTCTACCTCGTGAGTGTGCAGCAATGCATCCCCTTCCCTGACAATCAAACTGCCCCGATGCTCATATGTCGTGATGTGCTGTCAACATAATCATCCTGACACAATGAGAACCACATTAACTGAACTTAATAGCAAAACAAATATCAGGAAGAATACCACACAGACTGGCTTATTTTCTTATTCAAGTCATTCATTAAAACCCTCACCATTTTCTTACTTATCAGAGGTCACCATCAAATTTCCAGCTGCCACTAAATTTCCAGGCACAACATAGCACTGATGTATCCATGAGGTCTTTTTGCCACAGAAATTAAGCCTCATTTGCGAGCTCTCCCCAATGTCATATTAATCATTTTGACTGTCCTGATTTTATCACCAGAATCAAAATTTTCTTTCTTCCTGGTGAACATTTCTTTTAAAGTCATTTTGTTGTGGAAACAAAAAAAAAATATTTACACAATGAGGAAGATGGATGATTGGATGACAAAATAAGTGCTTTTTAAATGCTCATTATACATCTATTGGCATTGGCTGTCTCATTGTGAACTTCAGGCTGCAATCGTCGGGACACACAGTAGCCATGTTTACATTGCTGCAAGAGGGACCTCTGGAGCCAACAGCACGAGGAGAGCAGCACATGACTTAAAAAAAAATAAAAGAAAAGAAAAGGAAAAGGAAAAGGAAAAGGAAAAGGAAAAGGAAAAGGAAAAGGAAAAGGAAAAGGAAAAGGAAAAGGAAAAGAAAGAACAACAGCAGAAAAAAAAAATCATGTACTTTTTGGCCAGCAGTAGACACTGACTGTGCAGACAACTGTGCCCAGAACATGACTGGGGGCTAGTTATCGTCCCTCTGCCTGAGGTCACTGTCTGTGCTGAGCTCCTGTCCTGGCTGGAGCAGCATGAATACATCACACCCTCACTCACACCAGGATGGCAGAACAAGGGGAACCATCACTGCCCAGTGCTTTGTG